ACACACACACACACACAGAAACAATATGCGTTTTGTATTGTTGTGACACAGCACAAAACGCATAATGGTGTGTATCTTTGTGTGTGTTCAGAAATGAGTGAACTCTGTCATTCACTTTTAACTCAGCAGTGGGAAAGAGGAAAAAGAGGAATGGGGGAGGGGAGCCATTATGCAACACTACTGCCCAAGCCTGCATCTTTTTGCTGCGCATGCAAGAAAGGTCTAAGACACAGGCACACGAGCTGCACGCATTAAACTGTAAAATTATAGTCATTCATACTGTTAACGATCAGACTACATTAAGTTTAGCGCAAAAACGCTCGGTCGCACAGGCAAGTTTGGTTGCTACTTTGGTTTTGTTAAAAGTGGCCTGCGAGCTTAATTAATTATGTAAATCAGGCCGGTGTGTCGCCAAAGGCTGCCCATACCTGCGTTAACCGAATATGGTTTCTTACTGCATCAGAAGTGGAAATGTATGTTGGACTGGTCATTTAGCAAGGGCGAAAGGTGACAGATCGACAAAATAAATAATTGAATGGTGTACCTGCGAAATGCTAGGGAACACTAAAGAAGCTGCCAATGTGTTAGAATGCCTTGCTCAAATGTCTCTAGAAAATTTTGCGAATGACAGAGGTCCAAGGGAGAAATTTTCAGCTGCATCGATGGCGAGTAGAAAAAGCGACAGCGAAACAAAAGTTAATCGAACTATTAGATGCAGGGAAATTTTTTTAAAAATAATATTTTTTGAATCAGCCTAAAACGACAAACTTGTTAAAGACATGGAAATAATAAGGAATAAGTTTGCAGTAATTAATGTGCCTGGAGGTTTCAATGGGACAAAATTTCTGAAAATGACCGAAGAAGCTCAGCTCAAAAGAAAATTACAAACAGGAATAGACGCAGAAAAGGCAGATTATTATATTTCGCGATTTCAGTTGTGGCGTGACCACAAGGCAGAAAATTGTACTGGTACGTATTTTTCAGAAACCTCTGCTAACGCACATCCATAAACGGCTCATTCATAGCGGATGTAGAAAGATATGGCCGAAAAGGCAAGCTTACTCTTTTCCATGACTCTGTGATTAATCTCAACCTGTCGAGGAATAAAGAAGGCAGGAGTTTTTCTTAAAACCTGTAGTATTCTTTTCATGCATCCGTCCATTCATAAGAGAACCAGTCCTTCATTCATTTGTTTCGATGGTAAATTAGTACAGGCATACACCTTGGAATTAAATCCACCATAAGCATGCTTGTAAGACACCTCGAAAAAGAGAGACGTGGAGAGTCTTGCCGACGAATGGTTGTTATTAGCACGTGATAGCACTCCGCCTATTTCCCAATTGCTTCCGCCTCTTATAGAAAGCGAATAAGTGGCGAGGATTAACTTCCTACAATGTGACATTCTGACAGGAATCCAATGTATCAGTTGGCAAATAACAGGTTTAACTAGTGGGATGCGAATGAGCCTATCACGCCTCATATAGTCGGCCCAAATCGTGGAAGCATTTTAATCAAGCCATTAGCATCAGATCTCTGCCGTGACCAACCAGGTGACTTTGACAAGCCTTATATTTGGTAAAGAAACTTTTATGTGCTCTTCCGAAAAACTTCTAAAGCTATTTACTTTTTCACTACGTTTTGGTACTGCAGTTAAAAAATGCATCAAAAGCGAATCGTACATTGTACATACATATGTTCCGTGCGTACACATTTATGTTTTTGTATTTGCTTGTGTAAGTGTGCATTTTTGGTTTGTCGATGTGTTTGTGTATGTGTGCATATGGCCTCATACTTTTATTATGAAATAAAGAGCCAAAAAGAGCCCTTAACAGCGCCGTTGGCTGCAAACTCCAGGTCAGAAACTTGAAATCAAATTTGAATTGATAATAGAGTGTGCTTTCAGGTGTGATGGCGAATGATTCTTGTGTATTTGGCGTTTTAGATATGGCCTGGCTACTCAAAAAACCGCATCTTGTAGCACACAAGTTTTACTTGTTTGTGCAGCCTGCTGCCTATTTTTGTATTTACAAAAAGGTGCGAGAGCGGGCTTTGGACAGTAACTGGACTTTCGATGATAAAATGTATGGTGATTTACCAGGACCACGGATGACCCGAGGCGAAAGTGTTCAGGAGTGGTTTGATAAGAAAGCTAGCTAGCGGGCAAGTTTCGCGTCTTCTGTAGGAGGGAAATCCGCCGTAGTGTTATCAAATCTCAAAACTGAAGTTGCTGGGATGAAAGATGTAATAAATTAAATGTGTTTGGTCAGGGAAAATCTTGTTGAAAAGATATAAAAATTAATCAGAATGGTGCAGTAATTTGCCAATATATATTAAAATGTGCTTGGGCCAAATCGTTAAGTGCGTATATAGTAAAAACAAGTGCTGTATCGAATGGAAAAAATTATGCTAAGAAAAAGAAGGTGAAAGTGTAATCAGAAACAGAACGCTTTTGATCTAATGGCACCTGTTTTAAGCTACGCTTTTCCTTCTTAACCACAAAGTTTAGCTTTTTTGCTGCTCGTCTGTATTTTGCATTTTGGAAAGGTGTTCTTTGTGCTATTTTCATAACCGCATTTAGCCTGACGCTGCTTTCAAGATAAAACAGGTGGTTCCAGCCAGACAAAAAAAAGAATGAAAGCCAATCCAATTTACGACTCACTCAGTTGTTTTGTTGATAAATGGCTACTTGCACATACCAGGAAATCAAACTCGCCATCAGCTTTCTTCTGAGCAATCTTTGCAACTAATCTTGCCAGTGAACGGCTGAACTTAATAAAATCCTAATAGACAAATTGCTTCCGAACGCCTATTCCCCTCGCGGAAAATGGAACTGGCAGAACATTTTAACTTTCCTTCATTCTTTTAATTGTTGTTTTGGAATTGTAAATTAATCGGAGTTGTTAATTGTCGAATTATTTGTAATAAATTGTTGAATTGTTCAGTAAGGCGAAATTTAATTTTTTTGGAAATAACGGTTCGGCAAAATGCTTGCAAATAATTTTTTCTGAACTTCCTTTTTCCATTTTCTCCAGTAAAAAAAATTGGCCAACGCATGGGCTGCCCGTGCGAAGATGCGTTTTTTGCAGAGTTCCCCGCAATTTTTGTCGCTACCGGAATCGGTTTTTTCGGCAAATGCTTCAAGCTAAACTAATTGTGATCGGCTGCCATAACTGGTAGGAAACACCCGCATAAAATTTCAGCTTTCTAGTTTTCCTGGCTCCTGAGTTAACAATTTACTGGAAGAAGTTTTCACGGGCCGCACGCGGGTACGACGTATGCCCGATGTCTGGATTTGAGCTCGTTTTCTTAAAGTTTTTAAAGTTTCAGCCTTCTAGCTTCTTAGATCTCCAAGTTATGAATTTGCGCGGGAAAAATTTTGGAGGGCCCGTACACGGGTACCACGCTTACCCGGGGGC